GATCAACATTTTTAGATGTCAGGCCCCCAATCATCAGTGATATGAAGCTACTATCAAAGGCGCCCTTAATATCTAGAAAGGTACTAAGAGCTATTCCTTTATCCTCCAGTGCTTTTTCGACCCTGTCAATGACACTGATCAGGGCTGTTTCCGTAGATTTGCCTCTGCGGTAAGCATGCTGGTTGTAATGTATGGGCCTCGTAGCTAGAGCTACATCCCTTATCTATCTATCTATAACCTTTTCCAATGTCTTAAGGAGAAAGGAAGATAAGCTTATAGGTCTAAAGGACTTTGGTAAAGCGTAGTCCTTTCTATCAGCTTTAGGTATAAATAGAACCTTGACAATTGTCCATCGGTCTGGAATATATCTCCATGCAAAACTTGCTCTGAAGATTTTCACTAGATAAGAAAAAAGGTTGTCGATACCCTTCTGTAGTTGGATAGGAATTATTCCATCCTCCCCGCTTGATTTAAGTGGTTTAAAGGAGTCAACAGCCCACTGCACCAGGTTTGGCCTTATTATCTTTGCAACCCTACACCAGTCCTCATTACAAGACCTTCGTAGGGCTTTGAAAGAATTTAAGACTGAAGTCTTGTGTGACCCTGGGAAATGGGTTGACGCTAGTAACACCAATGTTTCTGTTTCACTATTAGTGAAGTTACCATCATGCTTTTTAAGAAGCCCGATCTGATTAGGTTTAGCTTTCGATAGCATTTTGTGGAGTCTTGCACTGCGAGGCAAAGACTCAACTTCCTCGCTTATAGCTTCCTACACGATGTTCTCTTGGCTTTCGCATTTTCTTTCAGTTATGGTTGCACTATAAATATCCCACTCTTTGGTTTTCTTAGCCCTATTAAATAGTTTCGTGGTCTTCCGTATTCCACCAAGGAACTTTTCTTGTTGAGGTCTTGGTTTTGACGGGACAAATGTCCTCGAAGGCTTCACGGATACATACGGTTACTTTCTCCGTCGCTAATTCCGGACTTTCAATCGTTTTGATGCTTTTAGGAAACGTTTCCAAATTCCTTCTTAGGCTATCTCTGTAGATAATCCAAAAGGTCGCTTTTGGATCCCTAAAAACAACGTTTTCATAGGTTGGTGATGCTCTAATCACAAACTTAATGTGTTTGTGATCAGACATCGAGTTTTCACTACTAACATACCAGACATTTATACGTCTGGGTATGTTATTAGTAGCAAAGGTTATGTCTAACACTTCTTGCCTAGCACGCGTAACAAAGGTTGGTGTACACCCTCAGTTTAGGCTTACCAGGCGATTAGAGATGAGAAAATCATAAAGTAGCTCACCTCTTTTGTTGATGTTAGTGCTTACGCAGGCCATGTGGCGAGCATTAGCATCACAACCCACCACAAGTTCGTCGTTGTGTTTCCAGGCGAACTCTACCACTCGCTCTACGAACTCGATGGTAGGATCTGAGTTCTCTCCGGGAAGATAGGCAGAGCAAATGATTACTCTGGTCCCTGTGCATCCCTTGAGATTTATGAAAGTTCTAACTAGGTCATCATTGCAGTACTCTGGAACAGGTAAAAGTTCAATATTTTTTTGTAAATTATACAAGCTTTGGGTCTACTGCCTTTAGTATTGACAAGAATCTTACTGCAGCCGAAAATCCCAGAACTTGACTGTTGGCCACCCAAGGCTCTTGTATGAGGGCGAGGTCAATGCTGTCTTCTGCAAAGCAAACCTCCATCACTGCACAAGCAGCTGCTGCATGGTGAAGATTTGCCTGGAGTACCTTGGGTTCCATGGCGGGGGCACACTTCTGGACGAGGAGCGGAGGTCGTCGGACCGAGGCTGTCGGACCGAGGCAAGATCAACGCCTTGAGTCTTCGTCATTCTCACTGATGGCGTTCCAGTCTCACCCCAAGAGGTGGAGGAATGGGGGGATTGGAGTTGGGGTGGGTCAGACTCCATTGCCGCGTTAGAGCCTCCCCTCACTCTAAAATTATCATTTTAAAGCCAAGGACGACTCTGCCGCCTGCATTACAAAGAGCCTTCGCCGATGACTCGTCCAGAGAAAAGTTTACCAGGAACCCATTCTCTTCGTCCCTACTGTGGGGGATTCTCCAGTGTTCGGTATGGAGACCTTCGTTTTGTGCCCTCAATAGCGCAGCCACCTCCTCTGGAGAGTCAGCTTCGCTGCAAGGCAAATATGTAATGCCCAGCTGAGGCTTAGGCAATTCGCCCACGGGTATTCCCTCTTCCTCCGGCGAGGGTTCCAGTTTTCCGATCTCACCCACAATCCAGTCCTGGCTTGCCTTATACATATATGTTACCAGAATCCAACCTGGATTGCGAGTGAAACCCGAAAATTTTGGTCCCATTTCTGTCTGCGCCCCACAGGCCGTCTTAGCGATGGCCAGTGTCATCTGCTCCATACTCATAGGATTCAAATTGAGAAAGAGGGCAGCTACTTTATGATTTTCTCATCTCTAACCACCTGGTAAGCCTAAACTGTGGGTGTACACCAACCTTTGTTACGCGTGCTAGGCAAGAAGTGTTAGACATAACCTTTGCTACTAATAACATATCCCGGCGTATAAATCTTTGGGAAACTCTTCCTAAGACCGACTGCGTTTTTTCACCTTCAGAACTGGAGGAGGTTTGAGCAGAGGAATTCCATCCCAGGGTTTCTGACAGAAGGATAGGGTCTCTTCGGCTCCTATCTCAGCTGCTATCAGCCTTCGGTACCTCTTCCTTGCTGCCCCACAAGCTTACAAGGCCTAGTGAACTTTTTCTTTTCCCCTCCCTGGTTCGTTTCCGATTGTGGTTCGCCTGCAGACGTGCTCTCCGCTCCACGTCCCAGGTTGGGGCGTAGTGTTGCATGATGTTGGTAAGGCTGAAGGAGCCTCTTCTAAACCTTTTCAAAATGTCGATTTTCGGTCATTTTTGTCCCACGATTAGCTAGGGAAATATTCGGTAACCCCCGGCAGAGCTCCGCATGACGAGGGAAAAGCTAAAATACTACTCAAATCGCCCTGTTCTCGGGTAGGCACCGTTTGCGACCGGAATCCCTGCAGCCACGCACCTTGGATTGGGTTAGGATGGGAAAAAAGTTGAGGGATAAAAGATAAGAAGAAGAGGAGCGTCTGAGTGTTTCTGTTTCCTATTGAACCAGACCAAACAACAGGCGGCAACCACGTGAATTAAGAACTCCTCAGACTTGCCCTGGGTACCAACACGATCTGCGCTCTCCTCCAGAGCCATTCGCCAGACTGCTCGCCGGACAGGAGAGCAGAATAGGTGTTAATCTAGTCCTACTGATAATATCAAAAAAGTTAGGAGTAGACTAACCCCCGGCCCAAAGCTCTCTTAGCTTTCCCAATTTCTTTATTATATTCGTTTAGAGCCGCACTATGAATATCCCACTCTTTAGTTTTCTTAGTCTTGATCGGATTTGATAATCTTAAAAAAGTTGTTGAAAAAAATTCTTAATTTAACTTACAGGTTAACTTTGACACTGACCACTCCCCCTTTACCATGCACGCTGCAACGAAACCAATTTTTTGGGAATTAAGAAAAAGTAAATGAGAATTAAGAAAAATTTAACTAGATAATATCCGTAAAAAGAGTTTTAATCAATGTGTAGTGTTCGCGTAAATATCAGAAATCATTATTAATGTATTTTATGTTTTCTGTGGAAATTGTGAGTGAAAATAATGAACTTTTTAATATTTTTTGTTCTTTGATATCACGCCAAATTTAGAAAATCTAAATATAAAACAGGAATTATCTCGGTGTTTCTTTGTCTGTCATAGAGGTTTTTATTGGAGAGTATCTCACGTAGATAATCAATAATAGTTAGCATTATGAAATGTAAAAACTGACATACATAACAGGAGTTAGGCTAAAAATTCCAATTTTTGAATTTAGTGTTCTATCTTTATATATATATATATATATATATATATATATATATATATATATATATATATATATATATATATATATATATATATATATATATATATATATATCACAGCAAACATTAAAAATGTGGTAAAGTATTTTGTTTCAATTTTATTTTAACATTCATCCGATAAAAGCTTTAAAATTGGTGTACCGAATGTCTAAGGCCTAATTTGAGTCTAGAATATACTACATAAATTTTGACAATCTGAAGTTTGAGTTTAAAATCGAAATGGTTTCTTTACTGTATCGCTTACGGAACTAACTTCTAAAAAAGTTATAAATATAACTAACAACTTCGAGGTAACTGACAACCTAGCTGTTAAAAAGCTTAAACAACCTCCAGCAAACAAATACTTAAGAAAACTATTCGAGTCTTATCTCTAAAACCGCTTAGCGCTGCCGCCCTGCTAAACTGCTCATTACATTTATATCTATCTTCGTTTAATCAGTATAAAATGTATCTTACATTGTTGTCTTATATTATATATAATTATACGAATTTGTGTAAGGTTTTGTATTTATATTGTCGTTATTTTATTCTTTTAAATATATTTAGATAATTAATTATATTCTATATTTTATGTTCTTTGCAACAGCCCTCGTAGTGTTGACATTGCCCTATGCTTGACTGTCTCCTTAATAATAAGTCCACCTTATGATCCTGTACCATTTTTCTAATATTTTATATATCTAAATAAAATTAACATAATAACGCACACAAAATATGTTCATTATTGTGAAATATTGCTTCAAACGGGCTGTTCCCAACAGCTATTAATCTAATACGCCTTTTTGGTTAGGTTTTGGTGATATGTTATTAATCGAAAGCAATCCACTTAATTGTTTCAGTTAGTACTCCGGTCTGGCCCATCACCATGCTACTTTTCAGTTTTATACCTTTCACTATATTACGCCAATCAAATGGTGTCGCTAAACAAGCATAATCGTCCCGAGAATAATCTATGTAGTATTGAATAAAACAAAAATAAATATTCATATTCTTTATTATAATTTAAGACCTATTTTCCAAATATCAATATTAATATCCGAAAAATATGTCTTATTTTATCTTTGGCCAGTTTCAGTTGTGGTTTCAATATCATCTATTGATACGTTAGTATCAATTTCAGTAAAATTTTGCAACAAATCTTCAGTTGTAGGTATGATATCATAATCACTGAAATTTCTCTGACTACCAACTGTTGGCATGACTTCATCGTTATTTAATGATGGAGCGTAAGTTGTTGTAGATATTTCATCGATATTATTTAATGACTGAGTATAACTAGTCGTAGGATTTACTTCTTCATTAGGTATTAATTGCGCATCATCAATCATTATCTTTAAATCATCAGGACTTGAAGGTAGTACACCACTTACTGTGGGAAGTACATCGTCAATTATTAAAGATTTAACAATGTTATTAAAAGAATTTTTTATTTCACTATAAGTAGAGGATTCTACTTTAGTGTTACTTGAAGGGTTTTGATATGATAAGTGGAGCTTGAATTTCATTCTTTCTTGAAGTTTTGGCATTGTTTTCTGATTCGTCATCAACAACTGTAACAATTACTTCGTACTTCAATTTAAGTTTTTTTCCTGCATTTGAAACGGTATTTAACAATTTTGATCTATCAAAACTGTAAAAAGATCCTAAGTTTTCATCTTTTCCCAAGCTGAAAAGCGGCGGGTATCTGAAAAACACAAATAAATATTTCAGAGAATATCTAGGCGACAAAAGTTTGAAAAATAGGATCTTGCGCTATGCTCGAACAGCTCGGACTGATTATACCTACAAAAAAGTAATATTTAAAATTTTGTACAAAAAAAATTATATATCACTTTTTCATATTCCTACCTCATCAGTCATACAATCATCCGATTCCGAGCTATGTTCAAAATTTCAAATCTCTAGCTCATCAGGAAGTGCTCGCAATTTAAGTTTCGAGATTCCACCCTCGACGACATACAGACATACAGACAAACAAGAAAGTGACTCAATAAAATGTACAAGTACTTCCCTCTTTCTTTAACCAAAACTGTGTCAACTTTATTTGGTATATTTTTGCAAGAATTTTTTTTTTGATTACATGAGTGTTAGAATATACTTAATGACTAATTTTTATTATTGTTTTATTATAACACAATATAAAGTTGTAAATCATTGCGTTTGTAACATCTCAGACAAGATGTACTTCTTAATTCTTAACTACTAGTGTTCACCCAGTGGTAGAAATGAGACCATAAGTTATTAAGTTTTTATGTTTATATTTTAAGCGAGCTGTATTTTACTTTCAATTCCCAGTATATATATATATATATATATATACGACTACGATACGATAAATTAATTTTTACTGAATTTTTTAATAAATTTTAGCTTTCTGCACTCCTTTATATAAACTTTTTTTCAACTTTCTGTATTATTATTATTTCATATTATTCAACATAAATTCGCTTTAAAAATGGGAAGTTAACCTTGTCAAGGAAATAAGTAACTCCTAATTTTTTTACACTAAACATCGAGTAAAAGAAGTAAACATATGCCTCATTTTTTATAAAACTGTAGTGAAAACGAATTTACAGTCCACCTGATGGTTAGTGGATGATGCAGGTGTCCTGAAGTCACCTTTAAACAAAGAAGGCTACAGTTGCTTCACGGCTTATATTATACCGAGACTATATAGACCGAAACCAAATAGGTGCACTGCACCCCGAGGAGGGCGTTGTTTAGGTGTGATCTGGAGTATCGTAATAGCTTATTGGTGGCTCTGAAGTTCATAAGTATCCCTGAGATGGGCTGAATTTACAGCAGATAGATTCAGAGTAGAAGGTTGTAGTAAAAGCCTACAATCGACTTGGAATCCAGTAGAAAATTGAGGTTGGGTTGAATACATATTCACAGCATAGAGGCAGAGTAACCGTGTTTGCAGCGATGTATGGAGATCCCGTGAGCCCTCGTTGACACCGAGCGACCACCGTGGGACTTTAGCCGGTAAGAGTCCGACATTACCTGCTTGCTTCTTTTACAGCAGGCGAGTTGCTATGAGATGTTTCAAACGTAAAAAAGGCAAAAGAGTAGGCCTACCACCTAGTTAATTTTATATTAAATTAGCTGGTACCCGGTTCGTTGCTGTCGAAAAAGATATAATTGTGGGCATATCGTTTTAAATTCTGAAGAGTTATATTGCTACAAAACGCGCGCCACTCACTGTAAGCTAATCGTACTATGCCTATAAACTTTTCGCAAGTGCAAGCAATAACTTGGCAAAGTTTTAAAGCAATCTAATAAATAGTATGGCCGAGCAAACAATACGAACAAAAATATTAATTTATATATATTAGATTTATTACATGTATATTTTTTTCACACTTATCTAAAATACTTACAAAACTTAGTCATATATTTGCGTAAACTTAATTTAAAAACGAAACGAAATTCAAATTTCAAAACCAATATCTTTCTTGAAATTGTACAATTAAACTGATATATGGAAAAATAATAAAAGTTGATGAATAAGGAGATGGCTTAACCCTTTCTGTCAGAAGCGGCCTCACAGAAAGTGAACCTGGTCAAGCCCCGAAAGTTTGACAAAAATGAGATTTATTTCATTATGAAAACTAGGCGACCACTGTTTATTGATGTCTCAGTGATCACAAGGGTTAAAATTGGCAGTGATTACCGAATTATTAGAGGCACACTGAACCTAAAAGTTAAGTTGAAAGGTCTCGTCTAATGAAGTCAATACTCCGTCCCATCTAATCCAAAGTCCCGAAACCTTTCAGCTCGAGTTACAAAACAGTTTTCAGTGGCTAGAATATTGCAATGCAGTGGAAAATATGAATGACAAGCTCGTGGAAACTGTACACGCGGTCGGAGCTAATTTCTGCAAGACCCACCGCAGAATAACAAAAAAAAACTCTCCGACCACACTCTTAATCTCATGGCTGTTAGACGAGAGATGAAGCTGCAGTCGTAAGCAGATTTAACAGCAAACAGACAACTGAACAGACAGGTTTTGAAATTCTTGCGGCGGGACTTACTGATCTGTCTGCCAGAAAGTGCCAACCATCAAAGCTGAAGTCTAAACTAAGCAGCATCGTTTCCGGGACACCTGAGTTTTGACTGAGATTGAGAGGTTCTATAGGCAGTCGTACACATCATCGTTGGAGCCACACGCAAGTGTGAGTAACGATGCAAGAGCAAGTCGTATCCGACACTATTCCGATGTTATCCCGAACGTCAATCTGAGCGAAATTAGAATGGCTCTCCAACACCTTAAAAATTACAAAGCCCCAGGCGAGGATGGAGTCACAGTGGATCTTCTGAAAGCGGGTGAAACACTGGTACTTAAAGTCCTTCAAAAGCTCTTTCATTCTGTTTTTCATGGTGGCACTACGCCGGAGGCGTGGAGCAGAAGTGCGGTGGTCTTGTTCTTCAAGAAAGGTGACAACGCTCTCTTAAAGAACTTCAGACTGATTTCTCTTCTGAGCCTCGTCTACGTGCTGTTTTCGAGAGTCATTACGAATCGTCTCGCACGCAGACTCGACCACTTCCAGCCTCCTGAACAAGCCCGTTTTCTAAGAGACATCAGTACCATAGACCACATACATACCCTGCGGCAGATTGTACAGAAAACCAAAGAGTAAAATCTGCCAATTTTACTTGCTTATGTAGACTATGAGAAAGCCTTTGATTCCGTCAAAATTTGGGCAGTGTTACTGACCCTTCAGTGGTACCTAGTTGACTGTCGGTATATCGAAGTGTTGAAGTGTTTGTACAGTTGGGCTACGATGGCTATCCGAGTACAGAACCAAAGTTTGAATCCTATCCAACAGCGGAGAGCTGTGAGATAGAGTGACGTTATATTCCCGAAACTCTTCACCGCTGCATCGGAAGATGTTTTCAAGCAACTAAACTGTAAAGGATACGTTATTAGTATAAATAGCGAGTACATCACTCACCATCGATTTACCGGCGATCCAGCCCTTATGGCAGAATCGCTGGAGAACCTTAGCACTATGCTCAATGATCTCAACAGTGTCTCCCAACGGATACGTCTTGAGATGAACATGGACAAAACGAAGATCATATGTAACCTCCATGTCACACCTATGTGGCACCTATGTGCAGGTAACCCAGGACCGTGTCGTGTGGCTTACCTTTGCCTTTGTTAAGCAGGGGACTTGTGATAGGATGTAACGATAATAATAATGATTATGGATCGTTAAACTTTGCACGATATTATTCTCGTATAGTCCGTGGGCCCCTGTAGCAATAATTTGATGATATGTAGTGTAATTTATACGTCAATTTATGTAGGTTTTATAATGTAGTTATTCCTTGTTATATTTGACTTTGTGTTTCAAATTTGACGAATATGTTTTATTTTTAATATCTGCTTTAAGAGGCAAATAATAGAACAAATTTAAGTGTGGAAGTATTATCTAATATTAGGATTAACTAATTTCAAGAGGTACAATTTTTTATTTCATTGACCGCATCAAAGATTTCAAAGGGAAGGATAGGCCCATCTAAATATTTTAATCATAACTTTTTCATACAAGAAAAAGTAGCTAGCACTACCTATGTGGCTCAGGACCGTGGTCTATGTTCTGTAGTGGACTTTTGTTTGCTTGTGTGGGGCTGTAATGATGATGATGATAATGATTTTGTAATTAGTTAGTAGTCTTGCCCCGGTCGTACTGGTTTACACTTGCTACAACTATAATATAGCTGCAGCATGGCTCTACCGAAATAAAGGTAAAGTGGATGCTAATTGGAAACGATATGATATAAAGTCTAGTGTATTTTTTTTTAGAGTAATTTCCTATATAAAAGCATGGAATAAGTAAATCAAGTGTCTGTTTTTACTTTCTAATGCCTCTTTTTCTTCTATTATTTCAACAACGTAACATAAATGTCTAAAGTCCTGTATATTTATTAAAACTGTAACTGTAATTCCGAAATAAAATTATAGATTTTTTATTATATATTCAAATCATGTACCTATTCAAATCCATAAGATTTGATTTTTATAAACTTATCAAAATAGCATTCGATTAAAACAAATGTCAATGTCACGGATTGTCGCAATGTCACAGGTGAATCAATATAATAATATTCTCTTCTAGTATCGTCTAGTCTCTCAATCTGAAAGCAAAATAATAGAACAAATTTAAGTGTCGAAGTATTATCTCATATTAGGATTAACTAATTGCAACAGGTACAATTTTTTATTTAATTTACCGCATTTATATTAATAAATAAATACGGTCCATTGACTTATATATTACTAGCGTAAGGACCGGGCCGATCGAACAACTAAAACGGACCAATGCATTGGCCCTAAAAACAACTAAAGCGGACCAATGCATTGGCCCTAAAATTAGAGTTTAGTGACAACGCGACTCGCGAATTGTGGTGCGCGCGCAGGACAGATTTGCCTGTCACAAATATGTCTAGTTGCGTGGTAAAAGAATGCAATTATGATACAAAGATAAAAAAACATGGGATATCGTATGATCGGTAAAAAACCTTATATTAATTTTGTTACAATTAAATTATTATATAAACGCATTTTTAGTTTTATTTCACAGTTAGTTACGTTACCAAAATTAGGCCAGGGTTGGATTCAGACCATCAAAAATATTGTACATGGAAAATAAAATTATACTATTTAAAAAAAATATA